GGTTTTGGACAGCCAAGCCCCAAGGGGCCACATGGAAGAAGAGAAAGTGTCTATGGCCTCTCTCTCTCTTTTCCCCCAGATTACCAGTCTTCTACTAAGGAAATAAAACCCCTGCCTGAAGTTGGAGGCTTGTTTGTTCTTTTTTAAGTCTAACCAACATGAAACTCTCTTCTCTGACAATTCCCTTCTACAGGATTGGAAGACACGGCAAAATGTTTTTAACTGTGCCCAGCCTTAGCAGCACAGCTGAAGAAAAATTCATCAAAAAGGGAGAGGCTCTTGATCCTGGCTCTCTCCTTAATTTGGAACCTGAAAATGCTGTTTTCTATGTTGGTGGAGTGCCTCCAGGCTTCAAGGTTGGTCTGATAAATGTTCTATATTCAAAACTAAATTGTGTAAACTTATCTTACTGGACTTCCCTTTAAATAAAGGTAAATAAAGAAAATGTCCTTATTTAGTATTTATCGTCTTAGGTCTTCTTTTTCTAGCCATGACAAAACAGTCTTCTCTAGCATATTATGTCATACAGTAAGATAGTCAGATTTTTTTCAGTGCTAATGAGTTCTTGATACTTAGAATTTCTCTTCTAGAACTCTCACAAAAATTAAAAGTAATGTACTGTTAATATTAGTGGGAAACAGTGAGGGAAACCAGCAATATAGTGATTTGTTTGAATTTACATTACATTGGTTTAAATCCAACCTTATAATGGCATGAAAATTTGCTTGTACAAAATATGTCTGAAGACCTGTGTGAGACAGTTACTTCAGTCTAGCTCCAAATAGCATGAATTACTCTCTTACCTGCTTCTGTGAACATACTGGTTCCTCCTCTTGGATTTAAAAATTTCTATGAACAATTTCAGCTATGAAAATTGCATGGCTGAACAAAAATGTACTTTGAAAGACTTTAGAGAATGCTAAATTCTTTAATGTAACTGTAGCAGGTGCTAAAAAGATCCAACTACTGAACCACAGGCAGCTCTTCTAAGAATATAAGAACAAAGATTAACTCAATACACTTATGTATTCCTGAGCTTTGCATTGTTGTGTCTACCAGATATATGCCATGGTCTGAATTTTAGATTACTGAGCCCTGGGTGCAAATTGCCTGGGAATAGGACTGAGGATAGAATAACAGCTGCACACACACAAAAAAAAAAGTCATCCAGCAAATGAATCCTCCAGGAATGTTCCAGAGCAGGGCAGAGGAAAAATAAAAGAAAAAAGTGAAGGGAAATGGGAAGGGAAATGGTAAGAAAATGATCGATAGTATTATTTGGTGAACATATGAGTCTCTCCCCCCTTAGGAATGGACACTTCACATTTTCATTTACTAACATACAGTCTTATTTGCTAAAAGCTTTTTCCTTTGCTTCCCTGTTACATACTTTGCAAATATGAAATGTACCACTTAACTATTAGGAGTCTCATGCTTAACATAATTTAACAGAATAGTAGAAGAAACAAAGGAAAAAATTCTTAGCATCTTTTACCAAATGTATTTGTACTGCAGATAAGAATCTAATTTTCTTTTATAGCTATACATATTCTGCATTGCTTCATTACCATCACTATGATATTGTAAGCAAAATGGAAATAATGGGAAGATAAAGAAAAGTTACTCACAGTGATCAGACTCTGAAGTAGAAGATGTGTTATTAATATCACACCTATTCCATGGGGCAGAATATTTTAATATAAAAAGAATGATTCACTGGCTCAGTCAGCTTTATACTTTTGAAATTTTCCCCTCACCAATGCGGCTATTTAAATTCCATTTGCAGTGACCTTTGTTGAAAGAGGAACTTTCTATATCCTGCTAACTAGGATTATCCACTGGTACATGCTTTGAATCCCAGTCTTCAGGGTCTCTCATTTGTCTGCCTTTCATCACTGTATGAAGTTATATTTCTGGCTGTGAAGGATGTCTATACATTAGATATGAAATATCTACTGAGAGATTCAAATACATAGAGTAAGATCTGTGATCAGTCAAATCTCAACGCTTTTCCTCTTTTCCAAGTGTGTTTCTATCAAAAGTACAAAAAAAGTTTCTGTTTGCAGTTGCCTTACCTGGCCCATTGTTCTCACTGTGAGACCATTTATGTGCTCCTTTTTAACCTACAGCCCAAAGGCCATATCATGATAAGGACTGTGAAGACTACTCACAGTAGCATCATTCCATTTTTTTTTCAAAACAAGAACACAGGGACAAAATTGACACCAGGCACAAATGCGCTCACAACACTCAATTAAAGAGTGTGACCCTTTTCCTTTTATTCCTCCTTGCCCTCTGCACAGCTCCCTCCTAGCCTAAACCTACCTGGCTTCATCGGCTGCCTGGAACTGGCTACCCTGAACGATGAAGTGATCAGCCTGTACAACTTCAAGCAGGTCTATAACATTGACACCACCACATCGCCACCTTGTGCCAGGTAGGGGACAGTCCCATCCTCACTGCTGCTCTGGTTCGTTATAAGTGCCAGTCCTGATGGTACATTCCTGTTTTAGAATACAAATAGAAGGTGATCTTGAATTGTCCAGAAGGATCTTGGTCACTTTTAACTCCTAGTTGCAATAACAAGTTTAGTTTATTTA